GGTAGTGCAAAGCCTGGTCAAAAGTATTCTTCAAGGCGCTGACTAACCGGTACGCTGGTACCTAGGAGCCAGAAAGCAACCTCTTAGCATCGAAATTCTATTTGGTTGGAAGATTTTGAGACCGGCTAGAGGATGATAGCAGATCTTACGGCTATGAATTACTCTGGAATCAATCACACGTTTGTTGAAGTGCAGTCCGACGGGTTGTAAAATAGTGACCGCTTGTGTCGACTTAGGCGGTTACTGGCCTCCGGTCGATTTTCCTGGCTGTTAACAAAAGTATTTCTTGTTGGATTTCTCCGTGCATTAAAATTATTTTGCGGAAATTGCAATATCGTGCACTTTCATTCTTGATCCTATTTTTCTCGGATATAAATGCTTGTGTTATCGCTGTTTAATTACGGGGATCTTACTATCGCTCTGTGCTCCACAACTGGCCACCATCTTAAATAATTAACTGGTATATTCCTAAGCGGTGCGAGGCAGTTAAACTATGTGGTCTGATAAATGTACTATGTAGTCTAATCAATGTTTTCGGATTTCCATAATGCCGAAACAATCACATTGCGGCGCCTGGCCCGAGGTTGTCGGAAGTCGATCAAATGCACTCACATGTTACATGGCCCATCGAATTCGATATTTCATGCATCGGACTAACAACTGAGCATGTTCGGGGTTTTCGTGAAATTCAACTCCAAGGTCTAATAATGTACCAACATGATTTCACTCAAATTTGTGTAGAAATTGCCGAAACAAGATACAGCCAGAAAAAGTGGAGCAGTATCGCAAGCCAGGTTGTAGAGTGAATCATTCAGTTGAGTGCAACTGTGTGTGTTTGACCCAACAAGCTAACCAGAGGCGCATCCAGGTTTCAGATAAGCTTTCCTTTTCGTCCCGCTCAAACTCACTGGCGAGAAGTCTAGTTACACCTGACACGGACATTTTGCATGTGTTGTTCGCTACAGACACAAAGCCGAAAAGTGTCTTTGCTTACGTGAAGCGGTGCCTGAAACCGGTAGGTAGTCTACCAATGCTAGAGGGCTCGGACAGACAACCCCTAATCTCCAGCACAGCGTGCGTCCGCGTTAGCGGTGCATTTCGCTTCTGTGTTTGCAAACGACCAGGTGTCCGAACCGAATTCGACGTGTACCACGCATACCGAACTCGACACTGATTTGCGATGTTAAAGATGTGCATCAACTATTCGCCAACCTTGATGGCAACAAGCCTGCTGGCCCTGATGGATTCCACCAACAGATTCTCAAGTCCCTGCTGGCAATCATCTCACCTGTTATGACTGACTTTTTCAACAGGTCACTATGCGAAGCTTCATTGCCGAACGAACGCAAATGCTTAGTGGTTAAGCCGATTCGGAAATGGGAAGACCCCAACAAAGTGGACAAATATAGGCCGATTTGTCTGACACCTATTGTGGCCAAGGTTGCGGAGATCGTAGATAAGACCTTTTGATGCACGCACAGCCCCTTTGTGCTAGGCCGCTTATGCATTACAAACCTGCTGATGACGAGGCATGAATAATCCCAGGCGGTGAATCAAGGAAAACTGGCCGACATTATCTACATCGATTTCAGGTCCTCTTACGGTGTCGGTGGGTAACTGTACCAGTGGATCCAAGACTTTTCCGTTGGGCGAAAGTAGAGGGTACAGACTGACGGTCATCCAACTGACTAGTGTCCCTCTGCTAGTGAAGTACCCCAAGGCACTCTGTTCCTAATTCACATCAAATATCTACCTCAGATTCTTAGGTCGCCGTGTCCACCGTTTGCGGACGACCTGAAGAATTCGAGAGTGATTTGCATCCAAGACGACTGAAGTTTACTACAGCAAGACCTCAACCGCCTCACTACGTGGTCTGCGGAAGAACGCCACCCGGTCAACCCAAGCACATGGGTGTTCATGAGCCTGGAGAAGGGTGGTGATGGCCGAACTTAAGCACTGACGGCGAACCGCTAGATCCAATACTTCCCGTGAAGGGCCAAGGTGCACTTTTGCTCCGCGATATGAAGCCAATGACAATACGGACAGACTATATCGTAACGGACTGCGCATGTTTCCGGCAATCAAATACAGTTTCTGTAGTTGGCTTGAAGATGCCGCCACTCGCCTTTTTCCTCCATCACAAGAGCAATATCGCAGTACGAATCACCCAAGGGGAGGTACATGAGATCGAACGGGTCCAACACGCCATTACCAGGCTCATTCCAAGTTTACGGGAAGCAACGTACGAAAATCGGTGCGAGAAACCAGAACAATACACCTCGTCTTATCGTCGGGCGCGAGTCGATATCACCATGACCTACAGTATATAGTACATCTCAGTGACTCCCTCATGTTGAAGCCGGTGCTTAAGTTGCGAACACCATGCAACACACGCGGATACCGGTACAAGCTTGTGGTGTCGGATGCAAAACGACTTTTCCACTCCTGTGCTTCGAACAGGGTGGTAAATGCTTGAAACAGTCTGCCAAAGCAAGTCGTGGAGGCTAAATCTGTGCGACGTTTCAAAACACCATTGAATTTACATTTCAGCCCCATTCGATTCAGAGAACGACTGACACTAGCAATCTGTGAAACTGAAAGTCAGAAATTCTAAAATGCTACATAAGAGCGATTAGATTACCACGTATTGCGGACACTTTGTATAACTTTTTGATTATGTTGCGATGGAGTTATCCAGATTTTAATTTGCTCCCAAATACCGTATTCAGATCAAACGAGTTCCACGAAGGAAAAATTGAATTATATTCGTGCAGATTTCGGTACAGCTTGTAATAAGCCATTTTGAAATTTGTCTTCCCTGTCGAGACTCGCAGGGCTAAGTAACAAATAACTGTGGGATGGTGTTAAATCTGTTACTGAGCCCATGGAGATGTACGTTCGAAACTAGCATTAGTAACCGATGTAACGTTTCCTGATACCAGTTTTCTTGTTGAACTGATGCCGAGGGAGACGCGTTGCCTAAGGCCTTCCAAGCAATTCCGTCGCGTATTGAAAAACAAGTAGAGATTAGGTATGCAAAACAACAAGGGATTTCCGAAAGCTGTGATAATACGATAGCTTAATGGTAAATGCGGCTAGCACTTGTGAGTTAGATTTGCAACTTAGCTTTATCTACAAAAAGTCAGCCGTGGAATGTAACGTTGCACAGAGCAACTATTATAGTGTGCTTCAGCGCTAAGAGGAATGCAGCGATTTAAACATTATAGTTCTCCAACCAACGTCATAATTGATTAGCCAGGAATGCCTGTCTCGCCATCGACTGGGGACTATGGGCAGTGTTGGTAGAAGAAATTCTGCCCCAGAGACCAATCTATAAATGAGTCGATAATACAAACAGCCACACAAGACAATCCATTCAGCAGACAAATCAACCGGAAGAGTGCAAATTTGAGCGCTGGGACCGTAGCCGTAGCAGATGGAACGTGGATGTTGAACGCCCGAAAATACTAGCTAAACTCACTGTTGACAAAACGGGCTTCACTTCATTAATAACAACGCACATGAGCGCGGACTGACTGCAATTACAACTGGGTTATCGAATGCAATTACCGTCAAGAGACTGACTCATCGAAAAAACTCGTAGACTGCACCTGATTGGCTTTCCGTCAGTTGGAGGTGCATCCGTTCCGTCAGAACATGTGAACGACGACGAACACGGTCGTAAACAGATGATGACCGAATGAGCAGATATGGTGTCGCTTGGGTGCGCATACAGTCAAAAGCAAGTAGATGGACAACGAAACAATGAGTGTAGGCACAAAGGAGACCGCATCATAAATAGGAGATGGACACGGAAGTAATAACTGGAACACCGGAGCGGGAGGTGAATATATGAGTGCAATAGGTCATCCGGTGATGGATTTACTGATGTCATGACAAAAGTGAACACGAGTAGCGGTTTCAACTCTATGATTGTTGGATTTTGTTGTATTGTCAGAGCAGAGAGAATGGGAGCATGGGAAACAGTTCGAATACTATCTGGTGACCAACGATCATAATTTCTAACAACGTGTGGTACAAAATGACCCTCGATTAACCTCTGTGCCGAGTGTTGTCCATCGTGACCCGGTGGCTAAAGGGTACAGGTTTAAACTAACATCCCAGTGGTCCAGGGTGAGATCAAACAGGTTTTAAACTGGTCGAGAAGTGCGGTGTTTTCAAGGAAGGTAACACTATATCCATCTGCTATTAAATTAAGAAATTAAATACCACCGGGGACAAACCCTAACGTCTGTGCATGGTTATGGGAAGCGAGAGGAGGAGGCGACCGCAGTGGCCTATGGATCAACGGCAAAAAACGCTGACTGGTTTATAGTCGAGGAAATAGCCCTCCAGCAGTTCACCCGACGTGTGGTGACTGACCGACAGAGCCTAGATGAGAAAATTTACTTAGAATATAAAGGACAAACACGGTGGTAGAAGTATGGGACCAGTGAAGTAACAGCATATGGAGTTTGGTGGTCATCGTATTTTCAACAGCCATGAACCGTGACCAGTGGAAGTGATTCCAGTCTGTGTGATGCACATGATGATGCTAAAGCGCAAAAGCACGTCTCACACTAAATAGACTGCCGAGTTTTCGCTGAGACAGTTCATTTGGCCATAAATTCACGGACATCAACAATTCGGATAGAATACCTACAGTGACAATTGTGAAGGCGCCAGGGTATGCGGTAGGGCCCACTGACGCGGTGATTTCGCACGAAAAGAAACCCAGTTGACAAGAATCACAAATGGAGGAAAGAACCGAATACGGGTTCATGATATCGATGGTTTTGTGTACAAGGTGGGTACGAGGCGAGGGACAGGGTCCCAAATGGGTGAGGGTCGGATGCCAGTTGGTGGTTGGCAAAAAGAGTACCACAACGGTAGAAGTGATACGAGTTAGGCAGATCACTGTCAGCCACATTGCTTGAACCGAGCCCACTGGGAACAGACTGTGTATAGTCGGTTTGATGGGCACTCCACCACAGACGTGGTCACGTCCCCTCGGGCTTTCCTTGAGTGGAGTCATAGGCACGAATCAGGTCGGATTGTCTGACAACGCCGTGTTCTTCTTGAGAAAATGCGTAGCCGTCTGGTATAGGGGACAGAAAGGAGACGACTGATGAAATGAAACAAAAGCCATCGGTTGCGTGGGGTGAAAATTGCAAAAAGTTGGGGTCAGTCAGTGTTAAGTAGTTCAAACTAGAGCCAAGCTACGCTATATTTGTGCACCACTTGAAATGTATGAACGCGTAGACAAGCAGGTGCAGCGGCATCCGTAAAAGTTAAAACTGCGTTGAGTGCTGTAAACCATGTAAAATTGCAAGTCAACCTAGGGGGTTACGGGATTAGGTGCCGTGTGTGTATGTGAACGACGCCATACGTGCGAGCAGCGGCGTGCTGTGCCGTTTTGGTGTGGAGGTGGAGTATACCTTATTGAAGCAACATAAGGAAAATGGTCACTGGATGGAAAGACAATGGGGCATACATACCGCAGTGGGACGAGGGGGGCCCTATAAGATGTTTGCAACAGAAAGTATAGGTTGGGGTAAAGTGAATTTGAAAAGACAGGGATGTGCTACGCTAAGGTCCAATACTCGTGAGTTTATCCAATTAAAGTTTGTTGACTAGGTTTCCGATGATCATGATGGTAGCAATCGCAAAAGAGAGGAACCATCTGCTAGAACAAATTAGCCAGAATAAAAGTTCAGTATTCGCAATGTATGACGCTAGCCGCCTAAGTGCGATCCAACAGTTATGGTGACTGACGAAAATTATAGTTAAATGAAAAGAAAGGTCGGGCAATTATGAGGAATAAGGGAGACGTGCTGAAACAGTGGTGGCTAGTAGAGGGAATGTACATAAAATTATGATCAGTGAAGTGGCCACAAGCTAAGACGAAAACACAAAAACCAACAGCAAAGCTCAAGTTCATGGCTGGTCACTTAATATCCCTTCGTCATGTAATCATTAGGCGACCGAGTCACCACAAGAAAACACAGTGCGGTGGTCGGTTACCAACATGCGAGGAATGTGATAGAACCACAAAGAAGGCATATATATGTAAGTTTTACTTCATTGGTGTATTATGGGGCGTCTGTTGTGCGATGCAACAAGTCACTGGATACTTTAAACATCTGCGCCGTTGCCATAGCAGGAAAGCACACACCCTGACCACAATCAATAGGCCAAGACCAGATGAGCCTAGTCATCCCGTTTGTCAAAGGAAACACCAAACGTTTAACTAGGCGAGTAGGCAATTTAATAAGTCGATTCGGCCGAAAAAAACGGATCCGTGTGACGATGTCTCCGGCATCACCCTAAGTGTCAGTGGAAGTGTGTGGTGATTCGTACAGGGGTCGGGCTGCGTGGTAAGCTTGTTGTCAGTCTTCTAGTCATTTCAGATGAAACAGGAGTAAAACCGATTATGAAGAATTCAATCAAGAAACCAGGACAAAAGTGCAGTTCTTAAGCATTACAACGGTAGTATTGGACACCGAAGGAAATCAACGCGGTCGCAGGAAATGCATATTTCGAAGGGAGTGCACATTTGTCGGGAACAAGAAATGCCGCGGACAAATGCAATCAACAGATGTGAATGCCGTATTTAATACGTCCTGATTGACAGACTCAGCGTGGGTGACTGAGAATTGGGAACACGATCAATATGGTTTCCATTAAGACGGAAGCTAAATCGGTTATCAGCGAGACAAGTCCTTCAGGGATTAAAGGGGCAGTTTGGGACCAACCGCATGGACTGTGGGGGTGTGTGTGTCGAAAACAATGACAAAAACGTTGCAATTACCGTAAACATTTTTGCAGAAAATAAGGGATTCACATATGATCAGGCAAAAGCAAGGTCACAATAGTGTTATCCGGGTAGTCAGGGAAGTGAGGTAATCGTCAAATGCTAAAGGGTTGACGCGAATACCGAGTGGAGGCTAGCAACATACAGCATCACCGGGTAAACCCGCATATCCAGTTGCATCTATCTCGATAAGTGACAAAAGTTGCTTTTACAAGAGAACGTGCTAGCACTCGAACAAAGACCAGGCAACCACACAATTGCGCCACGGTGAGTTGGAAGATTCCGCGAAATCGATAAACGTATACTTAACGCATAGTTAATAACTGAGCACTGTAAGGGTACTCACGATCGGCATGTGCCAAGGCTTTTGGAGATGACAAAGTGCGTGAGCGGCCGACACTGGCTCCAGGGCAAAGATTTAGCAATGCTTCTGAACCTCGAGTGCGTCGAAGAATCCGCATGAAGGCGGCCTTGTCTATGGTCCTAGAACGGAGAGATGGGGAAACCCAATTTCTTAGAAACAGATATGCACACAAATATACACATAAACTGTCACAATTAACATGGGTTTAACGAAACGTTATGTGAAAGAAAACCGATTGTTGTAGTGCAAATGGTGTAAAGCAATTTAGGGAGCCGACTACTGCCAACCGAGCAAGTCAGACGTGTGTAACGTAAAGTAGCGTTTTTCAGATGGAATGGTATCCAGTAGGGAGAAGCGAGGATAAGACTATCGAGTTTGGATTTGAAACGGAACCATGATATATCTAAAAGTGTAAAGGAACCAATAGATTGGCTCATTACACGACCGGCGCCAGAGTTGCTTATCGGTACAGAGAAAGTGATCACATGAATGAATATTCACGAGAACATGGTGTGCAACAGCAACGGTGAGACAAACCAACACTCACTTGCATTTGAGACTCGCTTTGATCATTACGCCCGGATCGACCTCCAGCTGTTCCAACTGCATCACCTGCTCTCGAAGTGTTCCTGCGAAGCTACGTTTTCCCCTATAAGTGGAACGCACACACATAGGTACGCACGAATCAGTCAGGTGTTGCACTATAGCAACGACAGTTCATATGCAAAGAAAGCTTGTTGAAAATGAAGTAGTCCATTAAGAACCGTTTGAAGACAAACGATGCACGGCATTCGATAGTTTATCTGCGAGCTAATGTCCCGAGATGCATTAGATGACGACAACAACAACGGAGCTGCGCTCAGCGCGGGCGCATTTCTTGATAAATGTGAACGGCGTGATCGGTGAGAATAGCATGCATTAAAAACAGCTGATGACATCTTCGTGGTGATGCAGTTTTGTGCGACTGATGTTGGATAGCGTAAATGTGGATACCGCATGTGTAAAAAAATAGGGGAGCATGGTTAGGTGGAAAAAGCAAGTGGATCTTGTTTGGTAGAAGAGGGTAGAGTCAGCAGGGGTTGAAAGATAGCAAATGTAGTTAAAATTCGAGGGGATTGGCAGAAATAGGTGATGCAAAAATAAGGACAGTATGCACCGTCTAGGGGCTACAAAGTACACATGCCACCTATCGTCGTTATGCAATCGAATTGCATTGAATTGGTTCTGGTGGAGATATATCTCGGATCGAAGGAATCTTCCTCTTCAAAGTATAATCTGCTCCGTTAGATGGGTCCATTGGGAAAATTTGCTGACACTTCACACACCGAAAACAAGTGAGAGATGCTCCCAATAGCTGAAGTTATGCAACCAAACGAGTAACGAACATCGTCGATTAGGGTTCATGTAAAACAAAAGCAGGTAAAGGATTTCAACAAGCAGGATCGACCTGACTGAGTATTAAACGAGCTCAAAGTACGCTAAGATGATTACGGTCGGCCCAAACATGCGGATTAGAATGGCTATCCCATAGCAAAACGCGTTTGTCCTAGAGTTAACGCACGGCCTTCCGAGGAAATAAGGGAAGAGTCCGTGAAGTTGAACAGACGCGATACTCAACTAAAACAGATCTTACCGTCTTCGAGTTTGTGTAAATGCAAAATGCGTGATTCGGCTGTGGGATGTTGGCCGCTTAGGCTTGGAAGCATTATCTTATATCTAGGTAGGTATAGACTAAGCAAATTGTTCGGCAACCGAGTGCACAGAATTGGAACGAGTATGTGAGCAATATAAGTAAATGAAGCAAAGGCATGACTGAATCTCAATGACCATACCATGACAGCCTAATCAGTTCAGATGAAAAAATAAACAGAGACCAAATGCAGCAGCACCATTGATTCTGCGACTGTGCTAACCCGGCTAAAGGCACCACCCGCTAAAGTAGTCGACCCCGAGCCCCTATGGGTGAGAAGTTCGTTTTCATTGGATTCGACTGCATTTTCGCCAAGCTCCCTCATATACTCGTACCATGCGGTTGAGTGACTGTTTCGAGCTTCACCCCATTGACCAACTGGAACGGTAAACAATTCACGACTGGGTACGCGGACAGCAGGAACACCAAGGACATGACCAGAGGTGGTTACTCTTAAGCGGCCCTAGATGATGAGCTACCAAACACCAATTAGTGGAGACTTCCGTATAGCACACCCGGTGGTATCACAGGTGGCGAGCAACGGTGCGTACGTATTGGTGGCGAAAGATGACAGAAATTGTTTGAAATAATCTAGTGACAAGTGATATAGCTAGCTGGGTACGTGAATCAAATAACTATTGGTTGATAGTGAGAAGTAACGGTAACTAGCACCGTGTAGATACGAAAAACATGGTGAAGCGTACAGCGCATTCCGTTGTTCTATTCATGAAGGTCCGTATTGGTACCGGATTAAACAAAAGGTGTGATATATCGTCCAGGTGCCGTAAGTTCGTCAGCCGATCGTCTGATAAGACGTCCACTTCAGAGAATGTCGACAAGGGAGATTTACTTATGATCAAACAAAAAAAACAAACAAAAACAAAGGAAAGACAGCAAGAGGGCAGCGCTGATGCGCCCAGCCAGGTAGGAGGAACTCAGGAAGTAGATGTTGAACAGTTAAATAGACGCGAAAGTCAAATTAGGTAGTTGTCGAGGTGAGAAACGTTTATCTGGAATGCCATCCATCGCCATGGGATACCTGGCGCCACTGCGTTGGGACCGGGTACCGCGCTAGATAGGTTTTCTAAGGTATTGCAAGCGAAAAACAAGGGGAGTCCAACGGCCGCATGAAAACACCGAACATTTTGATTGATCTTGAAAATAATCAATTCTCTCGGTTTCCTGTAAACTGTGGACTGCGGTTTGGGAACTGAAAAACAACCAGCTCTCTAAGGTCAGTTGGGGAATAGCAAAGTTGTCACAAAATGGGTGCCAGATAGTCCGGTAACACATGGCCAATCACATTGTGCGAGAATGTGGAAGCTGCGATAATTTAATTTGCATAGCAAATGTCACTGCACATACACTTACGAACTGTGACGCTATTCGGAAATCATAAGTACAACCAACCGAAGAGAGGTTGCGGCATATTTGTTCGCCCAGATCGTTAGCAAAAGAATTATTTGTTACATGGCGAAGGCAACAATCGTCAGAACAATAAACCTACTCTCAGTGTACAAATAGTGGTAGATGGGATGCAGTCACCCAACGGAGTATGTAATAAGGCAACTGCACCCTAATGCGACACAATTGCTGCAATCAATGTCATCCAAATATCAGCAAGGTGATTTTCTCTGCAGCTTTGACCTGTTCATGAAACGGAGACGAAATAAGCGAAAAATCCTCGACACACAGCGGTTTGTACTATGCAAACGAACTCTGAACCGCAAAAGTGCACTAAGATCACATCCATATCCAATTAGGCCAGTACCCAAGAGAGGAGTCGATAGACGCGCACATCTAATCCGTATCAACTTGGTTGGGTGTCTGCTTTAAGATAGCGTGTGGTAGACGGACAAGCAATTGGTGTGCACAAGCACGCGGTACAGGTCGAAAGGATGGTGCACGATGTCGGTGTGCTGTCCAATCGGAAATGAGTTGGTTACAGTTGAGGAGGAATGAGAAGAGTAGATGTCACAGAGCGCAATAAGATTCATGAATTCGGCTCATCGCGCAAACGATGGTAATGGTGGAGTAGTAGAATGGAGCTTCATCAGAGCAAAGTATGCACACGCTTGACATGTCGAAACGAGTATTGGAGACCGATGGGTGGTGAGACTGTCAAGCAGTTTAACACATGTGAACGGCTAAAGGCTGCGTAGATAAGGACGCAAACGGAATCGAAGAGAACCATCGAAGTACAACGGCATTAATTTGTGCCACCAACATCTCAGGTACGCAGTTGGGGGACCAGTAAAAGAAATAGGTACGGCCCATGACTTTGCACGGGGCGATCGCGTAAGGCGTAAAAAAGCGCTTTGCGAGTTCTTACGCGTCTTTCTGTACTCTCAACAGGAGTCGCTCGGGTCATAACAAATGTGAGTGGCGTAGTATCGATGTGTTAAAGGTGCAACTTTGATTGATCGATGAAGCAGTTCTCGGTAGGCTGTGAAAGCCGGCCGGTGTATCCAACGGTTGGATGACACGGGTTTCTATTCGTCCTTACTATGGACACACATTGGCCTGCATGATGAGAATGATATAGGATGTAAATCACAAGCTGTCGTGATCCGGGATGCCAACAGAGATCATCAGGGGACGAGGGTTCTGTGCGAGGATGAGTGAGTGTACAGAAGTGCGTGGCGTCCACTGGGAAATGCCGCCAACATACGGTATGTAGACTAAATTTCTAAAAGGGAAGAAGCAGACGAGACGGGCATTTGGTAGGGCGTACGGAAAAGAGTAGACTCACATTTTCCAAGCGACGTCGCGGGTCAGACACAGGGACGGTATCAGAACCAGACCAAACCAAAAGACCCAACTGCCAAACACAGCGGCGTCCTAGTAATTAAGAAAGAACATAGCACGAAGAACTGGTGAGTCAGAAAGAAAGCAATGAACACAGTGGCTAGCAATCTTGAGTAACGTATGAATATACAGAGAGAATAAGGTAGCCGACGAGAACCGATGAGAATCCTCAAACAGCCAACGACAAGATTTGACCAGACAGATGAGCATACGCAAATAATTAAAAACGTTGAATTTGTTGTGGTTCAGTGCTACTCTGAAAATCGTATTTGTAACGCGTGCGTAGATTAAATGATTGAAAGTTGGATCGGCCACACCTCCGCGAATCCAAACCACTGAATGGAGGATGAAGATCATCGTCGAAGACCGCGTAAGTCCGCAGATGAGACGAAAGGTGAGACCCCTTGACTTGACGGCGAACCAGAAGTAGAGAGACAAATTGGAAGCGTGTAATGGTTTAGCCAAAGGTGAACACAGGGTTGCAGGCACAAGCATGTGTCAAAAACAATCCATCTCCCAGGACATTAATTTGGTTAGACGAGGATTTATACTGAACGTCATTTCACCGTGTTGCGGAAGCCACACCGACCCACATTTGAGTGAAAATGCAAGTCATCTTGGTACGTGATGCATCAGCGTCGCGTGGGCGCAGATCTTAAGGAGCGCAAAACTTTCCTGTAACATGAAGAACGTATGTGGACCTCTAATTATCATGAGATGAAAAACGCCAAAGTTCAGGAGAGGGCCCTACTGATTTTCGGCTTGAAATGAAATGGATGCATCGGATCTTGGGGAAAAACAAAAACGAAATTTCTGAAAATCCAGCTACATGCACATAGTAATATGTCATCAACGAGCAGGGTGCTCAAAATGATGGCCGAAATTCATGAGAAAGCGGACCAAGCAATATCGTCCATATATATTGCGCCAGCCACTGGATAATAATGGCCTGGAAAGTGGGGAGGGAAGCAATATAAAAATAAATAAAAGTAAAACAGCACATTCCCTGACAGTGCGAGGCATATACTGTGTTATTTGCATGTACTAAGAATTCTTGTTTCGTAAAAAAGGATTATTATAGTTGCTACAGTCGTAAGAGGTCCTGACGCCCGCAAAGCACGGTTTTATGCGAGGCCGCTCATGCATTACAAACTTGCTTGTGATGAGGCATGAGAGGTTGAAGGCAATAAGCAAAGAAAAGTCTGTCGAGGTGGTATTCATCGATTTCAGTAAAGCGTTCGACAAGGTCAGCCATGAAGTTCTCCTTCACAAACTCAGGATATGCGGTGTCGGTGGTTCAATGCACCGTTGGAGCCGCGACTTTCTTGTTGGACGAAAGTGGAGGGTATAGGTCGACGATCATCTAGCTGACTGATATCCATCTACAAGTGGCGTGCCTCAAGGCACTGTGCTGGGGCTCACTCAGTTACTGAACCACGCCAACGATCTACCTCAGTTTCTCCGGTCGCCGTGTGCCTTGTTTGCAGACGACATGAAGAATTGGAGAGAAATTCGACGCTCCCGCTGACGACTGTGGCGTACTTCAGCAAGACCTCAACCGCCTATCCACATGGTCTGCAGAAGTTCATCTCCCGGTCAACCCAGCCAAGTCTGTATTTATGAATCTGAGGAAGGGTGCTGACGGCCGAACCTACACACTTGACGGCCAACCGCTATATCCCACACCCTCCGTGAAGGACCTAGGTGTACTCTCGCGCTACGATTTGAAGTCCGTGGACAACACGAACAGGCTATATCGGAACGGACTGCGCATGATTTGGGCGCTCAAACCTAGCTTCGGCACATGATTTGAATAGTTTGCTACTTGCCTCTTCTCTTCCATCATTAGACCAATGCTAAAGTACGGTTCGCCCGCCTACTTTCCGATTACCCGAGACGAGGCACAGAAGATCGAACGGGTCCAACACGTTGCTACCAGGCTCATCCCGAGTTTACGTGGCTTGGGTATGAAGACCGGTGCGAGAAACTAGGACTCTACACCTTGTCCTACCGTCGGGTGCGAGTCGACCTCATTATGACCTACCGTTTTCTACATCTCGGTGAGACTTGCTTCATGCTGTGGCACTGTGCATTAAGAGGGCCATGACAGCACACGCGGAATACCGATACAAACTTGTTGCTGTGCCGGACTGTGAAAAGCCTAGCTTCTCACCCAATGTTGACTCGGAGGAGTGGTAATATTTTTTGAACAGTTTGCCTGAACATTAGTTGGAGGCAACATCTGTGCAGCAGTGTTCAAAACGCTTGTGTAGATTTATCTTTTTACCACTATTTCGAATTCAGAAGCAACGATGACACACTTACTAGGACACTATCTCACTATTTGTGAGTCTGCAATACTGTGAGTCAGATACTTTTAATACTGTCTGCCACGTGAGAAACGATAATGATAATTCACGGCTGACAGATTGTATCAAGGTTTTATCACGATATTTCGAAAGAGTGTGTACATAATTCACTTCTACTTGCCCTAGAAAACAGTATTTATGGGATAGAAAGTGTTGAGAATGTGTTCGAAACCTCACAGATAGCAGAACAGTAGCATAAATGCAGACTCTCTATCACCCTCTTCGTTGGCATACTGTATCGGGTCAGACTGATACCACGGGGGCTGTGTTATATTCCTGCTATCGATATCATTCAGAAGAAATCTCCGGCCGCACCAAGGCAAATGAGCTAAATGCGAAGCAAACCCACAGGGACAAGGTAGGGCCAACTAGAGCGGAAACTCTACTATCAGACAGACAGATAGGTGTGGAGTGGGTGTATGAGATTAGCCAATAAGGTGTGGCACGGTTCCCATGGAAACCTCGCTAGCTTAGATAGGATAACGTAGCGTACTTCGGTAAGTGACACCCGCACTTTCAAAGTGTGAAATCCGTCGAAGAGCGGGTTATGTCCCCAGACATTATGCTTGGTGAAAAACCTGAGTTAGCTGACTAATCAACAGCTATATAAATGGGTCACCCCTAGAAGTGATACGCTAGTGTGATTTTTCAAAATCACAACCAATAGTGA